AGTTCTCTTTCTCCGTCTGTAAGCCTGTGTCTCTCTCTCACTATTGGTCTCCAAGAAAGTAAGAAGACTCGCATCAAACCCTGTGACAGTTCCACTAGATACTTCGACCGAAAGTAAATTTCCACACCGCAGCCGAAGCACTGAAGAGCAGAATCCAAATCGCTAGACCGCAAGCCACAAAACGCATAAGCCTCACCCCTAAACCCTATGAGACCTAAACACCTTGTGCAGATAAACTCCATAGCAGAACTCCATTATGAATTATGAAACCCATAGAAAACCCTATTGTGACTTAAAGAACCATATGATGAAACCTTACAGAACCCTCTTATGAAACCCTTAAAAACCCTAGCATGAAACCGGTAAAGCAGCCCTTACCCCAAGGGCTCCTAATGGCCCAAGACCCCAAGGAAGGCAAATTTTGCATACTTGGAACCCCAGGGATATCAAGTCAGAAACCCTAAACCCTAAACTCCGTAGAAAGACATCCCTTATCGAGTTTTGTAGCAAACACCCATAGTTATGGAACCCCTAAACTTTGATTTGACCCTAAAATTTGAGGCCCTAAACCCTATAAGGCCCAAAACCCCCTATGCAGGAGCCCTTATGAAGCCGGTAATTCGAAGGGCCCATAGCCCTGTCTTCTGGCCTCCACCTTTGGCGCTACGTGGTGGCCGAGGTTTCTGCTGCAGAGGGACCTATCAATCAACTTGAATCAGGGTATAGGGGTTCAGGGTTTAGGTTTAGGGGTGTAGGGTTTAGTGTTTAGGGTTGAGGGTTTGGGGTGGAAGGTTTGCAGCTCAATGGTTCATTAAAGTTGAGCGGTGAAAGCTTCGGAGGTCGACAAACCGTAATAGCTTAAACCCTAATCATGCCTCGTGGTCTGTGGTCTGATGTTAAGTTTTGTTCCGCCAATCTGAAACCGGGCTTTCGATTGAGAACTGAGTGATTCAGAACTGACGGAATTACTGGGTTGCCAAACTGCAACCTGCTTTTTGTTAAGGTTTGGGAAGGTCCATGTATATACTATGACTTGACCATGAACCAGGGCATGCTTGCTGGATGTAGGGACGTGCTTCCTGTGACATCTCCTGCCCCTTGACAACCTGGACACTTCAAAAGTAAGCCGTCTGTCATCCACTGGCAACTGTTTGCGAAAAAGCAATTAGCGTAACAGTCTTCCGTCCCGCATGAGCTGCACGTCCGCGTCGCTGCCGTCACCGCTACCATCAGCACTGCAAGCTGCCATGGGGAAAGAAGATGGCAATTTCTTAACTAACAGGGATATCGGAGTCTCTGGGAAGCTCTGAATCCTTCCACCGTCTTCCAAACCTAACATTTTCGAACCTTCGAGACGGTTTTCCAATTTAAAAAAGTTGATGAATCTAGGAGCTGAATAAGAAATCCTGGGTCTTTTTTACAGTCTTTATATGGGTCCTAGTATTTGAGGGTCAAAGGGCCAGGGATTGATAGCCAGGTTCCTACATTACCCAAAGGCTCCATGTGCCCAAATCGCAGATACTATACCTAGACCCAAGAGTAACCGAGGAAGAAAAAGGGTGCCCTTTTTGGTTTAAAGGGGCTTATATGGGAACCTGAACCCTGCAAAAAAGGGAATAAGGGCCTACTCTAGGTCCTAGATACAGTTTATGGGCTGAAGATCTAAAGACCCTTTTGGGTTAAAGGGAACTCCAGAAAGTTGGAATATGGTTTCAGGGTATGATACCTTATAAGTTACCATAAAGGGTTTAGGATAATCATATTCCAACTTTCTGGCTTTTACTGTAGGGCTTGGGGTGGAACTACCAGAGGAACAGGCACGAACGTGCACGCTCCAACGTGCCATGGTTGCCGAGAGCTTCGTCTAGGAGTATGTTGAGGTTCCTAGATGTCAAGGACTACTGTAGAGACTCTGGCAGCCCAAGTGAGCTTTGAAACCCTACACTTATCTTGAAACCTGAACCCTGCACCCTTAATAACCCTAAACCGCTAAGCTCTTAAATCCTAAACTCTGATACATGGGAGTTTCCAAAATTGGGGGGGGGTACCTTATTTGGGGGTCCTTATAATAAGGATCCTACTGTTTAGGGTGCGAGATTAGGGTCCCCTATTCTCGGAAACTCGAACATGTGATCAGGCCTGGGTTCAGGAGCGAGGATGAAACAGGCAGGGCCTAGGGCTTAGGACTGACGGTTTAGGGCTTAGGGTTTAGGTTAGCTCCTAAACCCTAAACCCTAAATGTGAAACTAGAAGTCACGGCAGCTCTTTTCTTGCGTTATCGGACTTGAGCCAAGTGCATTGCAGAGGCCATGCTAATCTGCTAATCTTCTCTTTCTCGGTACGTGTGTGTCATCCTTGTGCATGGGCCATGATGGGCCATGCTCTCACTTTGGGATTCACACTGGTTCAAAAACAACTCCAATTTTTTTGGAGGCTACGGCGGGGCTTGTCGCCACACACTGACCATGAAGAGCACGGTCAGCACGAAACGGATATCCGTAAAGCTCTGGCAGCCCGTTCCGCAGACGCTCCGCGCAAGTGCCGCCTCGCGGTTGTCGAGGCTGCTGCGGCCGCCCCTTGTCCTCGAGGCCGTACTTGTAGAGGACGTGGCCACAAAGGAGGTCGTAAACGCCAAAGTCGCAGAGGAAGTTGTGGCAGACGATGCGGCCGTCCAAGATATTGCCGTAGAGGAATCTGGCCAAGAATGGCGTCACAGCACTTGTAGTTGCCGGAAGCATTGCCACACACGATGCTGGCCATGAAGATGTGGCAGCAGACAGTGCTGTCAAAGGAGATGTAGTTGTATCCTCTGATGTCCTATAGGATGTGTTTCTGGACGACGTCGGCGAAGAAAAGACAACGATGGACCGCGGCTTGGTCGACAAGGTCATGGCAAGTCTTGATTTGGAAGACGTGCTTGTCAGGGTGGAGCATGACGTGGCGGAGGACATGGCCGCAAGGGTAAATGAAATGTAGGAGGTAGGTTGTGAGATGCCGGCATACTCGTCGTAGACAATGACGTCATGCAGGATGTAGTCAATGTAGTCCTCCAGCCCGATATCGACGTAGAAGGTGTGGTCGTAGAGGATGCTGTAGTCGCGGAAGATAATGCCACAGACGGTGTCGTCATTGAAAAAGTGGTGGCGCGGCAAGGTGCTATACAGGACGCCGTCAGTGAAGATGTTGGTATAGAGGGGAGTTTGCATAAAGGAGGGCATTGTGCATGTTGCCGTAAACGAAGATTACGAAGATGCGTTGTCGTAGAAGCTGCAGTTGTGGTAGATCTCGTCATAGAGGATGTCGTTGTAGAGACTGTTGTCGTGGAACGTGCTTTCGTGGAGGATCTCGCTGGGGATGTAGTTTGTGGTAGAAGACGTGTAAAGGATGCGGCCGTTGATGGTGGACGGTGACTGCAGAGGTGGGGAGCTGTCATACACCATGTGGTCGACGAGGGATCTTGCCGTAAAGGGCACTGATAGGGGACTGATGGATGCGGCCGGTGGAGATGATGATGTTGATCTTGTGGTCGATGATGTTGACGTGGAAGCTGTGCTCGTCGATGATGATGTACAGGTCCCGGTAGTCGATGACGCTGATGTAGAAGATGTGTCGTCGACGGGGTTGGTGTAGAAGATGTCGTGGGCCTTGATGTTGGCGTAGAACATGTAGCCATCGAATGTAATTATGTAGAAGAGATGGTAGCCGACGGTGTCGATGTTGAAGATGTCGTTGGCGAAGACACTGATGTCGAGGATGGGGTAGTCGATGATGTAGATGTGGAGGTAGCAGGTGTGGTCGTCAGAAATGTTGACGTGGAGGACGTTGTAGTCCACGGTGGTTGACGAACATGTTGATGTAGAGAAAGTGGTAGTCGATGATGTGGATGTAGAAGATGTGGCCATCAGCGACGCTGATGTAGAGGGTGCAATAGTCGACGATGCTGATGTAGAAGGTGTGGTCGGCGAACATGATGATGTAGAGGACGTGGTAGTCGATGATGTGGACGTAGAAGCAGTGGCCGTCAACGATGCTGATGTAGACGGTGTGGTAGTCGCCGATGCTGATGTAGAAGATGTGGCCGTCGAGCTTATTGATGTGTCAGATATGGTCGGCAATGATGTTGATGTGGATGTGGACGATGTGGTCGTCGAGCATGTTGATGTAGTAGATGCGGCCACCGAAAATGGCGGAGCAGAGGATGTGGTAGCCCACGATGCTGATGTAGAAGATGTGCCCATCCAAAATAATGTGGAGGATGTGGTAGTCGACGATGTCGATGTAGAGGTGCTCGGCGAACATGTTGATGTAGAGAACGTGGAAGTCAAAGATGTGGATGTAGAAGGTGTCGTTGTCAACGTTGTTGGTGTAGAGGATGTGGTAGTCGACGATGTCGATGTAGAGGTGTTCGGCGGACATGTTGATGTAGAGAACGTGGAAGTCAAAGATGTGGATGTAGAAGGTGTCGTTGTCAACGTTGTTGGTGTAGAGGATGTGGTAGTCGACGATGTCGATGTAGAGGTGCTCGGCGAACATGTTGATGCAGCGGGCGCGGTAGTGGATAATATGAATGTAGAAGTAGAAACCGCCAGAATGTTGATGTAGAGGATGTGGTAGGCGAGGAGGTTGGTGTAGACGGTGTGGTCGGCGGACACATTGATGCGGAGGATGTCGTAGTCGATCATGTTGTTGTAGAACGCGTGGCCGTCAGCAATGTTGATGTAGGGGACGTGCGACTTGGAGATGTTGATGTAGAAGATGTGCCCATCAAAATATCGATGTAGAAGACCGGTAGCTGACGATGTCGATGCAGAGGATGCCGTCGGCGAAGACGTTGATGTAGAGGACACTGTGGTCAATGAGGTTGGTTCAGAAGATGTAGTCGTCAGCAATGTTGATGTACAGGTCATGGTAGAAGAAGAGGTTGCTGTAGAAGACATTGTCGCCGAATATTTAGATGTAGAGGATATGGTAGACGATGATGTTGCCGAAGGTGTGGTCATCGGCAATGTTGAAGTGGAGGGTGTAGTAGTCGAGGAATGTTTGCACAAGTCCACCGTAGCACAGCATACAGACGGGAACGACGAAGCAGTCGAAACGACACCGAACAGCAAATAAGCCTCAGGGCACAGTATGTAGGCGGAGAAGACGAAGAAGCGCGCGACGGCACCAAACTGGAAGTCCGCCTCATAGCACAGTATGTAGACCGAGGAACGAAGCAGTGCGCGACGGCACCAAACAACAAGTCCGCCTCATAGCACAGCATGTAGACGGAGAAGACGAAAGAAGTGCACGACGGCACCAAACAAGAAGCCCGCCGCATAGCACAGTATGCAGACGGAGACGACAGAGAAGTACACGATGGCATAGAACAAGAAGTTCGCCTCATAGCACAGCATGTAGACGAAAACAAAGAAGTGCACGACGGCACAGAACACAGTGCACGGACCATGAGAAGACCTGCATGCCCCAGGAACGGTCCCGAGGCTCCGCTACCAATGTGAAACTAGAAGTCACGGCAGCTCTTTTCTTGCGTTATCGGACTTGAGCCAAGTGCATTGCAGAGGCCATGCTAATCTGCTAATCTTCTCTTTCTCGGTACGTGTGTGTCATCCTTGTGCATGGGCCATGATGGGCCATGCTCTCACTTTGGGATTCACACTAAACCCTAAGAGGGTTTAGGGCTTAATTAGGATTGAGGGCTCACGATTTGGGATTGAGGGTCTAGGGTTTAGTTTAGAGATGTTGAAACCAGAGCCACCACATGCCGAAACCTAGAGACCTTGACGACACAAGCATGCAGAACTTCGCACTTGCGGTCGTTATTTGCTTTCAGAGTTTACAGGTTTCAGGGTTTAGGGCTCAGGGTTTGGGGTTTTAGTGCTTTTTGTCACATGGTTTAGGGCTTAGGGCTCAGGGTTTTGTGGTTGCCAAACCTGCTGCCTGGATGGTCATCAGCACGTTGAAGCGCTGTCCCATGGCCCGGATGCCAATGACGCTGGAAGTGGCCTTTTTGGAATTCGTGCTTTCCCAGAGACCCCAATATCCGTTGGCAAAGGAGTTCATTCCCTAAATCATACAAGGGATCCTACTATAGTTTAAGGTTTATTCCTTAATTAAGGGATAGTGGAGTCCCCTAACCCTTTGAAGGCACCCTTATAGATCCCTTTAAAAGGCATATTGGAGTCTCTGGCTTTGTTAGAGTGTTAACCCTAAACCCTAAACCCTAAAACCCTTACAGCTAAATCCTCAAACCCTGAAGCCTAAAACCCTAAATCACAAATCCTAAAGCCCTAAAACCCTAAACTCTCAAACTCAAAACCCTGAAACCCTTGTTAAGTTAGTGTGTTAATCCTAGTTCGCTTCTGGCCTCACAGGCCCACACCGGGCGAAACCGACAGAAGAGCTACAGAAAACCACTTTAAGGATCCAGGGCTATAGGATCTTACAGGGGGTAGGAAGTATAGGGATCCAGGGTTGGTTCAGGGTTGAGGGACCCAGGACTATCAGCACCCCCCAAGTAAACTTTAACAGAGTCCTCATAGTCCGCAACAGTGGATATTTCGGCTATAGTAGAGAGTAGTTTAGGGGTGCTGGTATAGTTACCCTAAACCCTAAACCCCTAAACCCCTAAACCCTAGACCCTAAACCCTAGACCCTAAACCCTAAACCCTTTATAGGAACTTAGAGGGTTCGAGGTTTCCGAGCTGCCAAGTTACTGCATCCCACAATCTCACAACGTGCTGTCTGATACCTATTGAGGCTCAAAAGTCCATGGTTTAGGGTTTAGGGTTTAGGGTTTAGAGTTTAGGGTTTAGGGTTTAGGGGCCATGGATATAATCTGCCTTGGGCTATTCAATCTGGAGGGGTCTAAGCTTCACCGTTAGAAGGTTCAAAACGCCTGGCCGCAAGCTGCGATCTTTTAGCCGAGGCACCAGCTATCTTACATAATCGTGGGTTCCTGGCCACATCTTATGATAAATGTCACCCGGGTATGCCATTGACATCACCACTTGTCCGAATAATTAACTTTCAATGTCCACATTCATGGTCCGAACTCTACAAACCTTCGAGGCCCAACATGGAAGCCCTGCACCTCTAAACCCAAAGCCCTCAACCCGTAATACCGTATTACCGCAAGCCCTGAGCCCAACCCACCCACCCGCACCAAACCCCGCCCCCCTCCAAATTTCGAAGCGCGAAACCTTTAAAAGAGAAGACAAGGCGCCTTACCGCGAGCCAGGGCTTCGGCGCGCTCCTGGACCCAGGAAAAACTGCAAAAATTAGGACTACCTTATTGAGAGGCTTAGAGTTTGCTGTATAGGGTTTAATTATCAAACTACCTTGTTGAGGGCTCTGTGCCTGCGTCCTAAGAAATCGGACCCGTGTATCTAGAGCTTAGGGTTTAGGGCTAAGAGTTCAGAACTTAGGCTTTTCAAGCTTCTGCTACAAAGAGTTATTGCCGGGGGTTCTGAATACTGGCCGATGCTCAGGGCACTTCGAACTCTGTGCTTGTAACTTGCATTTATTACGTGATTTTTCCATGGAGATTCCACTACTGGGTTCCTGCTTTGCGAACACGAAACCATGCAACCCGATATCGATACCCTCGGCCCTAAACGCCATATCTTCACGGGTCTTGTTCTAGGATGCCCAGTAGCCTAGGAAAAAAGGACTCCATTTGGTATTGGTTTTGGTATTGGGTAACTTTATGAGGAACCTAGGACTACAAAAAGGGAACAAGGGTACTACTGGGCATCCTATATAGTGTTTGGGGCTTGAGGTGAAGGGCAATTTTAGGGCTCAGGGTTTAGGGTTTAGGGTTTAGGGTTCAGGGTTTAGGGCTGGGGCTTCAGGTGCAAATTCTGCGGCTTAGATGAATGCCCGGGAACAGTTCAGGCAGATGTAGGATCCTTAACTTAACCATTACAACAATCAAGGTTTTTCGGTAGTTTAAAGTATAATATAGAGGCCTCAATAGTTAGAACAGTTTTTTTTATGGGGGGGAGAGCGTATAATCTACTAATTATACTTATAACAAGGAACCATGGGGGTTTATTGAAGCCCCTACCCATAAGCCATTGAAAGGCCAACACGAGACCTCCGCAATCCTGTCCAGACGTATGACGTCAAATTTAGCAGCGGGTGGAAAAGCAAACCAACACTTGCCAACTTGACATGGGGGACGGGAGATGAAGCCATGTACAGGTAAAACACAGACACCCCCGCACCTGAAGATCAATACCCTGGCCCACCCTAAACTTAAACCCAGAACCTTGTCGGTCTCCCGCTGTTCACCACCAACCTGCAAAAGCTTATCGGCTTGCGGGGGTGGGGGGGGGGGGTTGGGATGCTCAGGCTGCAGCAGTTTAGGGTTTAGGGTTTTCGGTAGAAGCGGAAGCGTCTCGACCATAAACCCGAAACCGAATGACGATGCACTCGAGATTGAACACGAAGCCCTACAAACCCTACAAAGCACTCCAACACATGCGATGAATTTGGGTTACCCCTGCAGGGCTCCAAATATTTCAACGATACCTACCTGGGGGGTCAGTCTGTACTGTACAAAGACTGCAATATGTCGGTGCGAGCTGAAGCCACATGGGTAGTTGTCAAAATTATGGCCCCTTTTTGGGTACCCTAAAAAAAATTAGGTGCCGTAATATAACATGGACCCCAAAAGGGACCCTAATTTTGACAGCCACCCACATGAAGCTCCAGCACCCATCGTGAAAGTCCGGCTGCCGCAGGTTTGCCGTAGACCCCATCAAGTTGGAAACCGGACTAAGGCCAAAAAGTGCTGGGATTCCCTTTACATTACTCTTAAGGATTGAGGCTATTGGGTTTCCAAGTTTTGGGCTTCTACTATGAACTCTAGGAACTTATCAATTTACTACATGTGTTGTTCCAAAGGCCCGTGTGAAGCAGGGGCCATTCGGAAGCACACTTCCTTAAACTTCATGCCCCGTAAGCCCCTGGAGTATGAACAGACCTGCCAGGCTCGATGCAACAGTATCAGGAAACCCTACTAGGAGGATCATGGGACTTAGTAGGTAAGGTTATAAGTACCTTAATTGGGGTTATAACTAATTATAAATATGGTTACCTTATATATAACCCCAATTACTAAGTCCCATGATCCTTCAAGTACACATCAACCACCGGGTTGGAGGCCAGGGTGTCATTAATCAAGGTTCTACACTGAGTATGTCAAGCATGTGCATACTCTGCACCCTTGGGATCCAACAACCTACCGTTTTGGGGGTTGGACCTTCTAATTAAGGGGTCATAACCTACTATTTTGTAGGGTTTGGGGCTGCAGGACTATGCTAGGCCTGCTAGGTCTGCTAGGTATTATGTATTAGAGTGTACATGCGTGCGGGAAGAAGATACTGTGGCAAAAGCCTGCACAACGCTACAAACTGAGCGCCAACCGAATCCGGAATAAACCTCCCAAGCGCGACTCCTCAGAGGTTTAGTGGCACTAGTGGTCAGAACCGACTCCCCCCCCTCCCTCCAAAAACAACAATGCCCTAAACTCTGAAACAATAAACCCCCAAATCCCCAAACCTTCAGATCCCTGGAAGGAACCCATTGAAAGGAACCCTTGAACGTTACCCTCAACACCCCCGTTCAAAAGCGGCCTTGTGCGAGCTCTCTTCCGCTTCCAGCCAATAGCGATGGATCTTGCCACTCGGTTCCACGGCCTTAAGGGATTTTTAGGTTCCTTCAAGGGATCTTTATAAGAGTTCCATAGTGGTTCTATCGGTTGTGTAGAGACTTATTACGGTTCTCTAAGGCAGAATGTAAGGATTTGAGAAACTTCTTGAGCTTCGGGGTTCAGAGTTTTGGGTTCAGAGTTTTGGGTTTCGGGTTGAGTCTAGGGTTCAGGGTTGAAAGTTTAGGGTTTAGAACCACTGGTGCTCAGTCGGGAACTGGGATTTAGATTCGGTGTTCTAGAAGGAAAGTTTCAGGGATCTGCATGTTAGTAGGGTTCAGGGCC